CAATACATGAGTGGATTAATAAAATGTGGTATATGTACACCATGGAGTTCTACTCAGCCATAGAAAAATGATGCACTACCTCTTGTATTATCCTGGTTGGAGCTGGAGCCCATTCTTCTAAGTAAAGTATCACAAGATAAAAAATAACCATCAAAAATAAACATCAAATGTATTCACCATTAAACTGGTACTAACCTATCACCACTTATGTGCACATGTGGGAAGTAACATTCATCAGGTGTCAGGCAGGTAGGAGGGGGGAGAAGGGGATGGGTAAATTCACACCTAATGAGTGTGGTGCACACTCTCTGGGGGATGGACACGCTTGTAGCTCTGACTCGGGTGGTGCAAAAACAATTTATGTAACCAAGTGTTTTTACTCCCATAATATTCTGAAATAATAAATAAATAAAATTAAAACATTCAATTGTGATAAAAAAAAAAAAAAGGCATGGTTGGTGGCTACTTTGTCCTGTCCCTTAAGTTTTGTGTCTTACAGTCTTGGGAAGAATGGTATGTTATAGCACATGAGTATAGCACTTGCTTCAGTTTCTGGCTGAAGTGACACTGACCGAGCATCTTTCTGACCTTATAGCTACACTCTGCAGTCTTGTTCACCTTCCTGATCATAGCCCCTCAAATATCTATCTCCTCTCAAGGACCCAAAATACACATTCTTTGATAAAAATCTCTTGTACTGGAATTCGAGCATGTTAAATCCTCAAATTATCTGGAATTGAGAAATGGTAACCAGATGTTGATGTTTAGAGGCATTTTTTTATAGAAGGAAAATAATCTCGAAGCTAACAAAAAAAGGAAAGAAAAGAAAAGATGAAAAGAAGGAAGGAAAGGGAAAATGGAAAGAAAAGAGAGTGAAAAAAAGATGTTTTTAAATCAAATAAATTGATTTCAGTATATTGCAGGCACTCTAATAATTCCTTACAGTAACACAGCCAAGAAAGAGTTAATAATAAATAAATTGGATGTTTTCATGAGGTATAACATATCTAATAAATTTCTGAGTAGTATCCCAAATTCCTGGAACCCCTGTCCAATGCTATGTATCGCACACATTAACAAGATTTTACTTATTCATATGTGCATGAATCAGGGTGATTAGGCAAGCCCTTATAGGATTTCAAGTTTTAAAAAAGGGAATAAAAACCAACTCAGAGCAATATTGAAAAGGTTTTTTCTGGTTAACCAGTGGGTATCACAAAGCAACATACTCAAACCCAACACTCCTGCCCACCACTCTTACCTCTTTCCTCTAAGCAGCTATTCTAGATGTGGATCCCACCTGTAGCTCAGTCTCCCTCAGGGACCACAGCCTTGCCTGTCTGCACAATCACTCACTTCTTAAGGAAAGCTAAGGATTCTCTATCTACTTTATAGTCCGAATATAAATACCACTTGCCACCACCAATGTGATGATCACAGATTCACCAGC